TTTAGCAGAAATGCCCGGTCAGAGTGTCCGACCAGGCTAAGCTTGTACCTGTCAAAACCTCAAATTTACCGGACAATTGTCCGATGACCGACTGTTATTTGCTGGCTTGGTGTGTGCTTGGACCACACCTACATGTACATTGTATGTTCCTATGGTAGCCTCAGCTCCCTCTTTATTGGCTTATCCTTAATGTCCCAAATGCCTTTGTTTTGTAAGAAACTCTGATAGATTCTTAAAAGTAAGTTGTTATACATCATGTAATTTGTTGATTTCTTTTACAAAGACAACTTCAGGAAGCAAGAACAAGGGTTGCTCATCTTTTTAAACAGACAAATGAAAGTGCTCAGGTTTGTTATAATTTCATGGAAATATGTACGGAACATTGGAAGTGCAACACTTTATATTGAATGATAAACACGATACAATTTTTTAATAGAATGATTGCTTAGTTCAGTTTTCTTTGTAGGTGTCTCCTTCAAGAGTGAACAACGAAGTTGTACCAGTACAAGCAACAGAGGAGGAATCTGAAGCCGAGACACAGACAGACACTGATGCAGAGAGTGCAGTTAGCGCCGGCAGTTCAAGTGTGAATACTATGGCTTGGCAGGATGATCCAGAATTCCAAGCCAAAGTCCGGTGGGTTGAGAATTACTTTTACATGTAGAAATTGTATTATTCTAAAGTTATTCTACGTGTAGGCAAAAGTTAAGGTTCGTGTAATTGTAAATGCTGAGGCTGGTGCAAATGTGAGAGGGACACCAATCAATCACTGTCGCAAGGTACTCAAAAAATTCCTGCCCATACGAGTTTGATTCCTGTAATGACAACCTGAAAAATTCAGCCTTGTTTTGTTTATTGTTTGTATAGGTAATCATACGGTTTTGAGTTCAATTTGGAATTAATTTGCACGAATGAGTTTTTCAAAAAGTTGAAATTGCACGAGCCGCTTCGGCGAGTGCAATTTCAGCTTGAAAAACTCACAAGTGCAAGTTAATTCCAAATTGAATGAGAAAAACCGTATGATTACTTATTAATAAT